TTGTACGTGATGCAAGGAAAAATTAATGGCGGAGAAGCCAATTTTGTCCGAGATGAACCTAGCTTGGAACTATGGCACAAGCGCCTCGACCACATGAGCGAGAAAGGGCTCCAGATCCTGAACAAGAAAGGATTACTGACCGGGTTGAAAGGCCAACCGTTGGAGAGTTGCACGCACTGCCTAGCTGGAAAGCAGCACCGGGTTTCTTTTGTGAGATCGGATCAACCTAGACGACGCAGGTATATTCTTGACCTCGTCCATACTGATGTCTGCTCCATGTCGGAAAGATCCATTGGAGGAGCTCAGTACTTTGTTTCATTTATTGATGACCATTCCCGCAAAGTGTGGGTATATTTGTTGAAAACTAAAGACTAGGTACTCCAATCATTTAAAGAATTCCATGCGATTGTTGAAAGGGAGACTAGCAAGAAATTGAAGGTGGTCCGATCTGATAATGGTGGTGAGTATTGCGGCCCATTTGATGCATACTGCAGAGCGGCCGGGATTCGACTAGAGAAGACGCCCCCCAAGACACCTCAGCTGAATGGACTGGCTGAGCGGATGAACAGAACTATTGAAGAAAAGGTCCGAAGCATGTTATCCAATGCCGGATTGCCGAAATCATTCTGGGGAGAAGCCGTCGAAACAGCTGTTGATTTAATCAACCTCTCACCATCACGGCCACTTGAAGGAGAAATTCCAGAAGAAGTCTGGACAGGTCGGAAAGCGGCCTACAATCAACTGAAAGTGTTTGGATGCCGAGCTTTCGTGCATATCCCTAAAGATGAAAGGGCCAAACTTGATGCAAAGACCAAAGAATGCATTTATCTTGGTTCGCCGAGATGTGAGTTCGGGTTCCGACTTTGGGATCCAATCAATAAGAAGATCGTGAGAAGCCGAGATGTGATCTTTCATGAGCATGAGAACATTCATGACATCTCGAAGCCCAAATCCTGGGTGACTGTCAGACGTGAAGAACCCATCCCTCCTGTCCGAGCTGAAGCAGGGGGAGAAAATTAAGAGAATGAAGAAATTGATGACCAGCAACAAGCTGAAGATGACCAAGACACTGAGGTCCGAGTTGAAGATGAGATCCGGGATGAAATTGATGAACCGGGTTCTCAAGCTGAAGAACAGCCGAGATATCCAACTCGAGAAAGAAGACCCTCTACAAGATACCCATCCGATGAATACACCGTTGTTGTTGAAGACGGCGAGCCTCAGAGTTATGATGAGGCTGTAACGAGCTCAGAGAAAGAAGAATGGAAAAAGGCAATGCAAGACGAGATGAAGTCTCTGCACGAGAATCAGACTTATGAGCTGACTGAGTTGCCAAAAGGAAGACGAGCTTTAAAGAATAAATGGGTCTACAAGATTAAGAATGAAGAGAACGGGCAAAAGCCAAGATACAAAGCCCGAATTGTAGTGAAAGACTGCAATCAGAAGAAAGGAGTAGACTTTGAGGAGATTTTTTCTCCTGTGGTGAAAATGACCTCGGTCCGAACCGTGTTAGCCATGGCAGCTTCAATGGACCTCGAGGTAGAACAAATGGACGTGAAGACGGCATTTCTTCACGGTGACTTAGAAGAAGAAATATATATGGAGCAACCTGAAGGATTCCAAGCTCCAGACCAAGAAGACTTGGTATGTCGGTTGAAGAAGAGCCTCTATGGCTTGAAGCAAGCACCTCGACAGTGGTACAAGAAATTTGAATCATTCATGACTGATCATAAGTTTGAGAAGACTGAAGCCGACCACTGCGTATTTATGAAGAGGTATGAGGCCGGAGATTTTCTGATTTTGTTGTTATATGTTGACGACATGCTTATTGTAGGGAAAGATAAATCGAGGATAGCCGCCCTGAAAAGGCATTAAGCTCGTCCTTCGCAATGAAGGACCTCGCCCCTGCAAAGCAGATTCTCGGAATAAAGATTATCCGAGATAGACAGAAGAAGCTATTGTGGCTGAGTCAAGAGAAATATATTGAGAAGATTCTGAAGAGATTCAGCATGGACAAAGCCAAAACAGTGAGCACCCCCCTTGCCGGACACATAAAGCTGAACCAGAAGCAATGTCCGAGATCTGATGAAGACAAAGATGAGATGATGAAGGTCCCGTACCAATCCGTCGTCGGAAGCTTGATGTATGCAATGGTTTGCACTAGACCCGACTTGACGTATGTTGTTGGAATGGTAAGCCGATATTTGTCAAACCCCGGCAAAGAGCACTGGGAAGCAGTGAAGTGGATCTTCAAGTACCTTCGAGGTACGACCGACTTATGTCTCCGATTTGGAGAAGGCAAAGCCGAGTTGCAAGGCTACTCGGATTCTGATTTATGGGGAGACGCCGACTCGAGGAAGTCGACTACAGGATATTTGATGAGATTTGCCGGAGGAGCTGTCTCTTGGCAATCAAGACTTCAGAAATGTGTTGCACTATCTACAACTGAGGCTGAGTACATTGCCGCTACTGAGGCAAGCAAAGAGATGCTGTGGATGAAGAAGTTCCTCATGGAACTCGGCCATGATCAAGACAAGTACGAGCTGGGTTGTGACAATCAAAGCGCAATCCATCTTGCGAAGAATTCAACCTATCACTCCCGCACTAAGCATATTGATGTGAGGTATCACTGGATCCGGGATGTGGTGGAAGGTGGTGAGCTCGAACTCGTCAAGGTGCACACTGACCAAAATTGGTCCGACATGATGACGAAGCCGGTTCCAGCAAGAAAATTTGAAGACTGCTGTGAAGGAGCCGGATTGATGCTGAGGCCGACGCATTGAAGTCGGAGGGGGAGATTTGTTGGGCTTCCTCCTTCAATGCTAAGCCCAAGTCCATTTGAGGGGTTTCCTAAAAACCCTAACCCTAATTTCCACCTCCTCTATATATACTCATTGTTGTGGGTGGAGGCTAGGTTGGATTTGAGAGGTCAAATTTGAGAGAACAAATTTGAGAGATTTATTTGATTGTTTGAGCAAAAGCTTTATGCTTTGCATTTGAGAAATCTCTAGAGAGAGTTTGAGTGAAACATCTCTAGGGTAGTTTGATTATCACCATTGTTGGAGAGGTTGAGTTAACCACCACATTGGTGTATTTGATTATTTGTAACCATTATCTTCATAGTGAATTTTTGATCTGGACTAAGTCCCGTGGGTTTTTTTACTTCTTCATTGGAGAAGGTTTTCCCACGTTAAATATGGTTGTGTTCTTCTTCCCTCTCTCCTGTTTTCGTTTTTGATTTTTCCGCTGCGCTGCCTGACCTGGTGAAGTTCAGGCTGAGGTATTGCCGAGATCAGGATCTTGTTGATTGACTTCCGCACAAAGGCCCCTGTGCCGAGCTTGAGGGAACCGAGTTTTCCCAACAGCTATTGTGCTAGTTTAATCAACTAATATTTTCATTAATATAGATATTTCTGCATGCAACCAAATATATAAATTCCCAAAAAAAGTAAAAGTAAAATAAAATGTTAACAGTTTTGTAGAAAAATATATGAATTTCCATTTCTTTATCATGCGATTTCTTTATATAGAATCTAAAACCTTTCTATTAGTAAATAAGATGAGAAGAATCTCGTCTAAACCAGTATATTCATAAAACTTTAGTTTTTATAATTCAAATCTTATTTATTCTTTAACTCAATTCTACAACAAATGATGTGTTCAATTTTCTCTTATGTATTTCTGTTTTTTTTTTTTTTTTCATTTACAGTTTTGTTTATCAATTTATGGGCAATAAAAAATTCGGATTTAATTTCCAAAAATAAATAAATAAATCGGATTTAGAATTCCACCAAAACGCAGATATAACAACTCTTCTCACGTTTTTCAAGGCTAATTAATGGGTGAATTCCTTTGAAGGATCCTAATAATTAAGTATTGCTTTTAAGAGAGAAATTCTTGTTCCATAATTTTCTGTTTGGTATTTATTGAAAAAATGAGAACATGGAACATATTCAATAACCGCACTAGTCGGGATAACCACGCCCTCACTCAAACTCGTGTTTGGTGGAGAATATGGTGAGAAATTTTTTTTCTTGGATAAATTACGAAAAAGTATGTGGTAAGTCTAATATTTTTTCAGTAGTGTTATGTTAATTATACTAATGTTATGAAAAAATAAAAATATCATGTATCATATGGTATTTTTGTTTGAAATTCTGTAATTAAACTAACACTCAACTACACTTGTTGAACCCCATAGGTATTTTTTTTTATCATACTACCACTAACACTGAACGAATGGAATGTAACCTCGTTCAATACCATATTTCAACCAACTGATGAGTACTGAAAAAGAAAAAAGAAAACTGAGAATTAAGTATTTCCCCATAACACTCATGTGGTGCAGATTAAAACAGGTTGGGCAAGCCCTCGTAAACATAATTAATTTACATGTAAGGTTTAATTGTAAACACTCTTATTTTTGCATTTTTAAAGAGGCTTTTCCGAGACTTCAACATGTGACTTTCCGGTCACACTGATTAAAACATGTAGAATTCATAAAAATAAATACATTAAAAAATAATTATAGTAAAAATTATAATCCATGATCGTACCACATTAGGACCAATCAATAATATCTAAAAGGTTTGAATGATTAAAATTAAATGAAAGATTCCATGCTCAACATCTAATGTGAAGATAAGTATTTCCTTTGTTCATAAACCATGATCGGTTGCAGGTTTTTTAGCAAATGAGACTACACAAACTTGAGACCTTTGGAGCTAATTGATTTCTCTCACAAGCATCATTCTATACAAGCATTGGTTAAAACTATACATCGCGTTTGGTTGATGAAGTTGCAACATGAATCCCCTTCACTTTTTGGGACAAATCAACAGCTTAAATGAAGGAAATTCCATTAAGGCCTAGTAGGAACTTTATCATAACGAATTGTCCAAAATCATAACAGAAAAGCTCAAAAATTAATCCCGAAAATGACTATAACCATAACTTAAAATAGTACATTATGGGCAGGAACGCAACATATTATTACCAAAGCAAAACGAAGCTCAATATACATAAACCTAAGCAAAGCATCTATTGCAACAAACTAAAGACATGATTAAAGGGGGGAGGGGGGAGGCCTAACTTGCAAGGAAAAATATCCCCACTTTAATGATGAGGGGTGAGAGAAGGAAAGGAAGGAATGGATTGTAATATCAACTTCCTGCCACCTCTACGACTAGGAGATGATCCCAAGTCACAGTTAGGAGAGGAGATTCTCTTGCCATTTGGAGAAGAAGTTTTGATGCAAGTGATAGGAGAGCTATCACCTCGGAGAATATCTGGCATTTCATCATCTGGAACAGTTTGAAAATGCTTAGATGGAGACCAAACAGAATTGGATTTCCCATGCTTTTGATTGGTAAACAATCCAGAAGAACCAGAGATGGTTGTAACAAAAGATCTTGGTGGCTTTCCTTTTGATGAAGAGGGCAAAAGAAGCAAGGGCCTGTAGCACAAAAATGAATTAAGATCAACAGGGGACATCAATTTTATCATCTCAGCTGACAACAAAATAGTTAGATTACCAAACCTGGAAATCCGTAACGGTGTTGCCTCAAGAACAGAATGTGGGTGATGTTCAATATTCTGAATTTCAGTTTTCTGTAAAGCTTTTTCCACCACAGCCTTGTCACATGCTTCTGTTTCTTCTGGCTCAGCTTCTATTCCTATAGGAGCAGAACCTGAACAAAAAACAAAAAAGAAGGAATTGACGACAAACTAATTAACCACAGGAATATAGTTACCAAAGGAAACACACAATGTAAAAGTCAGATATATTGGTCAAAATTGAAAGCCAATTCTCTGCAATCATGTGCAATCTAAGGGAAAACTTACCATCCTTTCTACCATATGCATTCTTGCACCCTTCACATCTACAGCTAATGGAGCAACCAACACCCCCCTTCAAAAGAAAACAACCATTGGTAATTTATATTATGATTGATTGGAGGCATACATTATATAGCAAGGGTGAACACCTACCTGATAACATTCACAATATTTCTTTAGGCAGCTTGATTTCTTGCAGTTGCATCCTCTTTTGTGTCGTGCTGAAGCTGGAGTTTTATTTGGTTCATCCTGCAAGAAGATAATAATTAATACACTATAAAAGGTGGTTAAATTTGCAATGGTGAGAAACTCAGTTAAATTTTATTTTCTAACCTCGGTTTCAATGACTTTAGGAGTAAATGCAATTGGGTTACGAGATTCAATCTGCTTGCGAGTTTGAACAACAGTATCTTCATTAATGGGTTTGTTGAAGCAATCCTGACAATTGCAAGGTTCTATGCAGTAGACACCAGCAGCAAAGCACTCACAATAACTGATAAAAAAGAGAGTAAAGAACACAATACTTTGTAGCCCATAAGCAGGACCAACAAAACAGAGAAAATCGACACCAGTTTACTTGGCAGAAGTCATTTGAATTTTAGAGAATTAAAAACTTAAATAAGAATTTCAAGATTAAAGTCGCATTAATGTGTTACAAATTAATAATCCTAGCACATTAGAACTTATAGATAATTAATAAAACTAGATGGAGATCACATCACAACATTATGCATATATGCATATGGTAACCCAAAAATAAATAAATAAAATAAAAGAGGACTGATTTTAACTTACAGCTTCAAACATTTTGATTTCTTGCAATTACAATGTTTGCAGCCCCCAGTTTCTGATTTACGCCTGCAAATCCAACTTGGTATAAAGCTAATGAAGAAAGGAAAAACTCAAAATAATGGTATGGAGTTTATCAAGCATAAGCATGGGTAATCAACAACTGCACTTGCCTTTTCTTTTTGGGGCTGTTCTGATTGAAATCTTCACCAGCCATGTAAGCTGATCCCTGGGAACAATCTTCAGCAGGCTGAACCCCATTGTCTGATGGAACCAAGTCTCTTTCAGATGATACAGATACCAAAGATAGATGCTGATGTTCTTGGCTTATAGAGAGATGCAAGGAAGAAGTGGAGCTGGGTAGACTGAGTTGTCTTCCAGAAGACAATTTTTCATTATTCATGCCTTTGTAATCTTTTAAGTTTGCAAGTGCGTTCAAGTGTAAACCAATTCCAGGCAAAATGCACCTTTGTGAATTCCCATTGCGTTTTGTAGGAAGCAGATGCTTTTCATTAGTAGCATTCCTCTCATCAGACTGCGATGCATTAGAACCAGTGTTCGAATTCTCATCTGTATTCTTCGTTCGCACACGGGCCATCTCAAAGTCTAAACAGCGTCTCAGTGTACCACCACCACCACCACCACCACGCATGACAGAAACAAGCTAAAAACAAAAGACAAAAAAAGTAAAAAAATAAAAAACCATTAAATCTTGTTTTATTATTTTCTCACTGTGCATGACAGAAAAATATTTTTTGATAATATAATGATTGATTTTTTCCATGATGTACATATAAAGTGATGATTTGATACAAACCACATGATACAGTAGTGTGTGCTAGAATTAGAAATGCTACTTCAATACAAACCATAACAAAAGGACGCAATTATACACATAAATAAGTGGAAAAGGATGGTTATATGATTTAATGGTGTACTAGTACATATACCAGTATAATGCACCATTTGCAGTTGAATATATTTTTCAAGAAAAAGGTTTTGCACCCATACTTAGTACGAGTACCGATACCCGTATCCATAGTTATCAAATGCGGATTGCGGCGTGTCGCGGCCAACCCAAAAAATGCTATTTGCGAAAATAGCAGAATAGATATATGACAGAAATAATGACAAAAAGAAACATTTTTTAAAGGCAGAGATAGCAGAAGTGACAGAGAGAAATGCGGATAGACTAAAAAACCTTTAAATTTTTTCTGTTACGCATTTAAATTTAGGACAAAATTGACATTTTGCCTTATGACAGCAATATGGCCGCAAATGCGATCGCAATGGTTGCTATTGCGTTCCGGTGCGGTGCGACGCAGTTTCTTGCGGCGAGGCACCGCAATGCTCATACGACGCGGCTCGCGGCGTTATTGCGGCGCAATTAACTACTATGCCCATATCCATATTAATGCAACATAGCCTAGAAAATCATGCCTTTGAAATAAACTCATGGAAACAGCCAACCTATATGCAGAAAATAGATAATACACATAGTTCCCCTCAACAGTAACGGATTTCCCTTTCCTACCTCATCATCTGTTTTCTCATTAGGATTGCTCGTCATCAGAGCAATATTGGCAAGATTTTCCTGTGTATGGTCTGCATCTGTGGCTGCTATTTGCTCAGAACAATGATCTTCAATTTCATGTTCAGAACCAGAAGCAACTGCATCAACAACTTGCATTTTCTGACCATTATTGATGGTGGATTGTGGTAGCAGAAACATAAAATCGCTGCGCGGTTTCTGCAGTAGGCCCTTCAAAGCTTCTGCTTCATTTGGGGAATTAAAAATTAAAAGATCAGTGGCATCGGGAATTAAACTATCCCAATCACAGTCAGGGCCTTCACTCTTTGGCTCAGCCTGACATATTCCCCGAACATGTACCCCATCCTCAACTGAATCTGTTTTACAGCCTTCCTGAACATGGGCAACATCTGATGCTGCCTCAGCAGGCAATTCCAAAAGAGAGTTAACCTCATCAGCACAAAGTGGAGGATCATAGCCAGGGTTACCACAATTATATTTTAAGGCTTGGGGTAGCTCAACTGAGAATTTTGTGTGTTCACTAGATAGCTCAATGGAAGTATCTCCAACGGAAATCCCTTGATCAGTATTTTCCTGTAATTCACTTGAGTAATGATGTGCATGAGTAGAATCTGCAAGAGCCTGATCACTCGAGTAAACTTTATTTACATCTTCAGATGAAACCTTAGGCTTTGATGTACCCAATGGGTTATGTCTAGAGATTATAATAGGTAGCCATCAGAAATATGTCACAAAAGCATCTATACAGACAAATTTAACTCAAAATTATCAAAGAACAATAAACAGGATAAAAAAAAATTGAGATTTCAAAATTACCTCCGTTGGAATCTAGATTCCTTGAGACAGCTAACATGGGGTGATGTGAAAACAGATGGTGGGGATGAATAGCTAAGTGAATTGAAAGTCTGAGTAATGTGAACAGACTTAACGGGCTTTATAGGAGATAAATTATTGATATAGTTGAACACAGGTGAATCCTGCAATTAGCAAAGGTTAAAAATATGATTAATCTGGATTAATTAAAGGATAATGTCATATACGCACGGAAACAAGTTTAACATGTGTTGCATTATGAAAAAAAACGTGGAGATAATCATGTCAAAGGTTACCAACGGCCGCAGAAAAGCAGAAATAATTTATAAATAATTTCCTAACAGACCATATCAGACAGGGATTGCTCATCGAACATTATAAATGTGCACATCATAGGTAATGATTGTAGAAAGGAAAGACTAATATTAATAACCCATTCAAGGATAAAACCTATGGGAGAATGACCATTTACCCCGAATCAGAAGATTGTAGAAACTTAAAAATTGAGACCAGCAAGTGACTTGTTAACAAGTTTGGGGAAAGACATTATGCTTAAAACTTTAGAGCCAGTCGAATCCGGCCTTGTAAAATTAACTGACTCTCTGATATACATCCTCAAAAGTATAAAGAGTGAGAGAGGGAAGAAAAGAAACTCAGAATTTACTTCATTTGATTGCAAATACAAATTTTTTGATCGGAAGCAAGTATATCTATTCAATTTAAAATATCAATTGCGACCCGCAAAGTTTAGACTTCTAAAACACTGTTTTACCCCAAAAGAAAAAAGAAGAAAAGAAAAGAAAAAACTTCAATAAACAGTTAAACACCAAAGAAAAAAATGAAGACGGTAGAACACAGGAAACCCGAAGTCCAAACAAACAAACAAACTATTTAACAGGAGTTCTGAATTGAACTTGGTGAGAGATCTACACCAGTGAAGTAATTCACACCATGATTACAAGATTTGATCCGAAAAATTCCCAAAAAAGAAACTTACTCATAGAAAGAACTGTCACTAACACTTCGACAGGATTACAAAGAAACGTTTTTCATCAAAGAAAAAAAAATCTTCAAATTAAAAGTAAAAAAATGAAAATCCCAGAAAAATTTGAGAATGAGATGGAAAAAAGTATAATAGAGGATACACATGCAAGGAGGCAAAGAAACCCAGAAACGAAGTGGATAGACATGACCATGAAAACCGCAAAGCCCAGTAAATTGAAGACGATAAACAGTGGGAAAATGGAGAATTTGGAAGTGGGTGGGGAAGCAAACCTCGAATTGAGAGACGGGAGGGTTGATCTGGTTCCTCTCTGGTGTGTCCATGTCCAGAGAGGCAGCAACACTACATTACTCACTCAGACGCTCTCTCTCTCTCTCTCTCTCTACTTTCTCTGACTCATTCTCTCTCACTAAATGAAATGGGGTCTTTTGTGCTTTTTACAAATGAGATGAGGATTCAAGAAGCGTGAAGGCGGGAGAAGAAAGATTTTATGGTGGGGACCAGTCCTCTACTACATCATTCTACAGCTGTTTCGGTCTAATGTTTCTGTTTTTAAGTCCTCCTCTTTCTTATCTATTTCTTCTTTTTCTATCTTGGTTGTTACTTGTTACTACTCTCCCCCCCCCCCCCCCCCCCCCCCTTCCCTTCTCTCTCTCTTCTTTTCGGTTTCGTTTCTCGCAAAAGTAACGATTACTGCTGTTAAGAATCGAGATCCTCTCTCCTTACTGTTTCTGGATTTTTTTTTTGGAGTTACTCAATCCTAATTATCATCCTAATTATCTTTTTGAGACGAGTTGGCTCCTTCCGGTATTCCCACGAGCTTCGACTCGTTGAGCCGGCTATGGAACTAATCGGAGTGCGGGGAAACAGTGATGGCTAAAGGTTCAGCCCCTCCCCAAGAATGCATCCAGCGGGAATCGAATGCATATCCAACCCCACTAACTCAGCGCCAAGTTACCAGCTGAGCTGTACCCATTGGGTTTTCTGGATTTTTTTTCTGCTACTTCTACGTTTTTATTTATTTCTTTCAATTCAATTAAAAAAATTAATATTTCTCCTTCTAAAAAATATAAAATTGTGTTATTTTATATTTTTACAAAGAAAAAGAGAAAAAATTACATAGCCAACAAAGGTGGGCACAGTTGGTTAAGGGTTTAGTCCATACCCCGCTGGTCGATGTGAGGACTTTGTTGGTGGGTGATAGGTAATCCTTCCCAGAAATCCTCAAAGAGGTTAGGGGTCTTTCCTGAACCTAGTGGGATACCGGTGTCTAATCCCACTTAAATTTTTTATTTACAAAGAAAAAAAGAAAATTACATACTAGAAATCATGGTAAAAGAAGGGGAAAGATTTTTTAATTTAAATATTAAATAAAGAATAATTTTTCCAATAAAAACTAATTTTAACTAAAATAATTATCTTTTAAAAGGATAAATATTTTTTGAATAAAATAATAACAGAAATCTTTTCTGTCTGTAACAGAAATTTTTTATCTGACTAATAGAAAAAAGGAGAGTAATCTACTAGTTACCATGTTTTTTTTTTCTTCGAGTTTCTCTCTTTTTCTTTTTTTTCTCTCTATAACAAATAAAAAATTTCTGTCATGAAAAAATATTTTTCCAAAATAATAAAAAGCTAGCCTACCAAAAGGAAAAAAGCTTTTCTTCTTGGTAGATTTACATATTTTTGTTACTCACGATGTATTTGCGATTTTGAAATTCCTTTTATAAGCAAATAAAAAAGAGTGTTGTGTAAGTAAACTAATTTGCATGATATTTGTTTTTAGTGACCAGATGCATAATTTTTCTACCAAACTTCTACTGAAAATAAAACCGATACAATAAATTTTATTTTTTTTAATGGATTGGAAGGACGGAGGTAGGTAGTACAATCATGATCTATTCCAACTGCAATGAATAATATATTTATATATCCAAGTATTTGCAATACTGTGACTTAATTATCTCAATCATAACTTCCTTCTATTTACATAAAACTGTTAGGAGATTTTTTATTCTCCTCAAGTTTTTATTGTTTAGGAGAAGGGGGAAGGGCTTAAAACACCATATTTACTTTTCAACCGACGTTAAAAAATAAAAACCCTCTAGAAAACGTTCCAACCTCATAAAAACTCATGTTGACTAATTAATTCCATTTTATTAAAAAGATAACAATTAAATTATATTTTGCTTTTCATAATTAAAAAAAAAATTCAGAATCTTACAGCTGCACTGCAGCCGTTAAGATGACATGATGGCACTCTCTTTTGTGTTGGCGCGCACAAATTTGAAAAGGGTGTGGTGTGGTGTAAGTGAGGCACACGTAGACCCGTCAACACTCGCGTCGCGTAGTACTCTAATCAGGCAGACATGAATCTGAGACAAAATGAAGGACAAGAGGCTCCATTATCCAGTGGAGCGCAATCCCATAACACGCACTTCCACACACAGAATTAAATATTCACATATACCTTTGATTATGGCGACAACTAACGTAAGACATTGTTTTTCTATTTGTTGGGCCGTTCCCAACAAATTTTTTCACAATTAACTATTCTAAATTCTAATTTTCACCTACTGGTAGGTCCCAACTCCGTATGACTATCAACCTTGTGAGCATCAGTTGAAAGGTCCAAGTATCATTGGATAAATTGATTTTTTTTTTTCACAACAAATTAATGTGTTATTAAAAAATATTGGTACGAATCAAATTGGAAACTAAAATTTAGTATAATTAAATTTGAATAAATATATTTCACCTCTAAGTGTATATTTCACACGTCATCTTATAAAGCTCCTATGCATAAGATACCTTTCTCTAAAAAAATTCACAATAAATATATTATATCATGTATTTTTAATATAATTAAATTTGTTAAATAATGTATTGAAATAAATTAATTAAGTAATATCATAAAAAAATTCAATGGTTATTTCAAACTTAAATTCACATTTATTTCAAACTTAAATTCACATTTACATTTTGACGCAGTATTAATATAATAAAACGTTCAAACTTGTTTTTATAGCATATTTAAAGCATTTAATATATTATTCATTGATTATTAAAGTAAATTTTTTCAAATAAAACGTTTACATAAAATTAATTTGACGGGGTATAAGTATAATAAAATGTTTAAATTATTTTTTATTACATATTTAAAGATTTTAAGGTAATATTTAATTATTAATAAAGTCAAGATTATCAAATAAGACGTTTACATAAAATTAAATAAGAAGATAAAACAAAATAAAACAAATCATATCAAAGTTATACTCTCCTTTTAATAGCCTAATATTTTATAAAGCTATGTATTATCAAAGTTTCAAATAAAAACTGATATTTCTTCTTAAACATTTTGTACTCATTATTTTACTTTTATAAATATTTTCTCTTAGGCAGCAACCAATAATTAGAGAAGGGCTCAAGGGAGAGTTTCTGGATAGATTGATGAATCATGATCTCTCAGTGGTCTACTTAGAGAGAAAATTTAGCAACACAAAAGTGGAAGGAATGGCTAACTAATAGACATATAAATTGATTTTAGTGTTCTTTATTTGTAATTTTACTTGTATTTTATAATTTTACTTGTATTATGTATTTCATTGTCACGCCTTTTTGAATGAATGAAACATGATTTTTGAATGATACAAAAGTAAGTAGTTAAATGAATCATGATTTTTGAATGATGTACATACAATAAAGAGGGGGAAAAATTAATTTAAAATATTTTATCTAAAATTATAATTGTTAGAATTGTATAAATAAAATTAAAAAAATTAAAATTAATTATAATAATTTATACGATATTTTGTTAAAAAAGATATTTTAGTCTATTTATATCATATCCTCATGATATTTGGTGTACTTCAAACACATGATAGAATAGTATAATCCTATCACATTGCTAATCCAATGCACATCAAACTCAAGATATGATATGTGCTTATCATGTCCATATCATATCTTATTCTTATTCAACTCTCTTATCGTATCCCTTCTTATACTATCATGTCGATCAAAGCAGCCTTTATAGTTTCAATGTTCCATTTTCGATAAGAAATTGAAATAAATATCCTGGTTCGTCTATGAAAACCGTGAAACATGTTTGTAATATATTTTTCTTTTTTGGTAATCTTGTTTGTAATATATTACTACAGGAGCCCTTGCATGTATATGTGAGTCCTTTACAATAAACTTTACAAAATATCTAGAAATACAACTTTACAAAATATCTAGCAACGCGTAGACAATTAGTAAGTTTTATCTTTCAATGCAATAATGCTCTTTTTTATTTTCATTTCGTAATGTCGATTTATGATATATATTTAATTAAACTTTTATTTTAGGGCATTTATGATCGAAGTATTTTAACATTTTCATCATTTTTAAATTGTAAGAATCTTCCTTCCAGCATATCTAAGCAAGTTTTAAAAATTGAAGTCATACCATAAATGTATTTTCAGAATTGCAGCAGGAGAAGGAACATTGGGGGATGTCTCTTTTTCAGATCATTGACAGTATAATTATGCTTTTTCGTTTTGGATATTATTTTGACGGGGTTGTTAATTTGTATTTTGAGACATTTTCATAAGTTCAATCCTGTTATGTAAATATTGAACAAGTTTAGTTTTCTATAGCGACCTTAGGTTATCTTTAATATCCAACTGCTTTTTGGACTAAATATCATTCAATATATAATATTTTACAATTATATGTTTTATCTTTTGTATTTTGTTAATTCTACATTATTCACTAACTGATTATTTAGACGGTTGTGTTATAAACATTATAATTATAAATTAATCTGTTATGAATTATATTTTTGTTCTTTCTTAAATGTGAAAAATACGATAAATAATATTTTGACATACTGATAAACAATAAAATGTGATATAATACGATTTTAACAAATTATTATTATTATTATTATTATTATTATATATATACATAATTGTCAAATAAATTAAGATAATGTCAAACTTCATTCATTTTATTATACTTTTGCAAATAAAAACAACATATTATATATAAAAAAATAAAGTATTTATAAATTATTAATAATAATTTATTAATAATTGAATAAACAATAACACAATGTGCATTCTTTTCACAATTTCTTATAACTATTTAATATGTAATTAACATATTAATAATTGTTAATCTCGTACAACACTTTAGGTATTCTACTAATGAAATAAGGATAAATTATATTTATATATTTTTTATTTACAAACTCATATAAGTTATATTATGTATATCGAAAAATACATTTACAAGTAAGTATACTTCTTAAAGTACATAATATAGTTTATAAAAATTTATAAAAATAATACTCTCCAATAATATAAAATAAAGTTAGTTAGTTGAGTTAACAAAATTACTATGCCCCGACGATTTGACAAGTGTACGGTCTGATCATGCTCTCATGATCATCATAAAATCTACATTTATGTGAGGTAGAGGTGCGAAATTAAGATGTTCATGATGCGTGCCTCTACCTTGTCCTTATGTTCCCAACTTCCCCCGTTTCCTCTTTTCCGAAGATTGGGTGCCAAACAAAGAGGTCCCCTTTAGTAGGGTTGGTGGTCCACTGGTCCCTAATTCTGTAAGTCATAAAGATATGTGACTAGTCACGTGATTCATCCCACCCACATCAATATAAAATAAAAAAATTACGAAGATAAAGAAATACAATCTAGAGAGAGGGGGGCCGGGAATAATCATGAAGTGGAGTGGTGAAGGGTGTGTATGCCTTTTAATTTGGTTTCTTTTTCGAGCTACTTACCACATTCCCTGGGAGGTGAAGTTCATGCGAATGCGAAATCATAACGTTGACTATTTGAGTAACATGCGTACTTTGTCTGTCACGTGCCATATGGCTGGCAATTGCACCTCATAACTAACTTTATACTATATATTCTCATAACTAATAACGCAGTCTTAGTCTTTTCAGATAAATTAGCTGACAAATGGAGCAGATTTAACTTAACCCCGCATGTTCGTTCCCTCTCTCTCTCTCTCCATATATTATATATAACAGTAACACATGGTCTTTTAATTTAGGTGTTTCAGTTGTAAAATATTAAACTTCGATCACTTGTTGGTGATCTTAATTTGATTGGATAAGAATAAATAAGCCATACATTGGAGAGCTTTTGAGGCACGTATTCATGAGGGGAAGAGGGTGGAGATTCTAGATTCATATTAAAACATCAGTTGACAAATATTATAAATGGGTAAGTTTGCTTCTTTATAATTCTTTATTCCTGGATGCTGTTTGCAACATGGATATGACCAACATAAAGTCCAAAAAGTCCAAAAGTCTTATTTTATATATATATATTAGACATGATATTTTTATATCAGTGTAAAAATAAAAAATCTCACATCAAATCTGAATTATTTATTTACTTGCAGCGAACAACTCGAATATCTAATAATCAGAACCATTTGATATTTATATGATTAACAATCAAGATTGAGAATGTAACTTATATCGGGGTCATATGATCCTGACCTTATATATATATATATATATATATATATATATATATATATATATATAAGAATAAGATCCGCTTACAATTTTTTTTTTGCAAATCACACTAAGTACGACCGGTCGCACACTACATTATTAGAGTATGACCGGTCGTACTTAGTGTTGTTTGTAAGAGTTTGTAAACAAAAAAGTTTATAAATACAACATGCCCCATATATATGGGCAGGATATTCTACACCGGTGTAAGAGTTAAAAGTCTTACCCTCAATCTTGATCATTGATCCTCTTGTATCCAATGGCTCACATACTACAAAATTTGAGCCCTTAAATATAAGTGGAATCAGCGGACAAGATTGAGAGTGTAACTTACACTGGTGTAAAACGATCCTGACCCATATATATGGGAAATGTTATACTCACTACCTATTTTTCTTACTACCTGTTACTACCAAATCTTAATCGTTGATTTTCGTCAATCTAATGGTTGTAATTTATTATATGGGTCAAGATTTGGTAGTAACAGGTAGTAAGCAAACTAGGTAGTAAGTATAACCTCTCTCTATATATATGTGTGTGTGTGTGTGTGTGTGTGGTAAAATCATTTCTGCAGCCGTTTTACGTACAGCAACAACAAGTGTATGGTTATGATTTCTCACATTTAATGCTTTCATCCTTTGTATGGTTATAATTTCCCGCATTTAATCCTTTCAAGTATACATATGACAAGTATTTGATTGCTGCACATACAGCAGCTGCAGAAATGTAAACCCCTATATATATCTATGGGGTAGGATCCTTTGACATTGGTGTCAAATTTCAAGTTTAACACCTCATCTGTGAGCCGTTAGATCAAAAAAGATCAATAGCGTCACATGCTTACAAATCAGAGTGGTTGATTTTTTTTGATTTAATGATTCTCAGATGAGGTGTCAAACTTGAAATTTGACACCGGTGTCAAAGTATCCTGCCTCTATATATATATATATATATATATGGGGTTTATACTTTTGCAACTGTTGTACGTACAATAGTCAAATACTTGCCATATATATACGTGAAAGCATTAAATGTGGAGAATCATAATCATATACACAAAAAATGTGAGCTCCACGGAATTTAAAAAAAAAACCTAGAATCCGCATGTGAATCCTGACTTTTACAACTGTACATATAACAACTGCAGAAATGATTATGCGATATATATATATATATATATATATATATATATATATATATATATATATATATATATATATATATTTGGGAGAGCTTAATTTTGAGGCACGTACTTATGAGGGGAAGAGGGTAGGAGTTTCTACAATCTTATTAAAACATCAGTTGACAAATATTATAAATGGGTAAGTTTGCTTCATTATTAATTTCTTTATTCCTGGATGTTGTTTGCAACATAGACATGACCAACATAAAGTCCAAAAGTCTTAATAAAAATTATATAAATATATGGGAGCCAGAAATTTGCAACATGGACATGATCAACATAAAGTCCAAAAGTCTTAATTAGAAATTATATAAATATATGGGAGCCAGAAATTTGGAACATGGACATGACCAACATAAAGTCCAAAAGTCTTGATATAAATTATATAAATATATGGGAGCCAGAAATTAAGATCATATATATATAGAGAGGGAGATAGAATTTTTTTATATCAGTGTCAAAAACTTTGAAATTTGATACCAAATCGTAATTGTTGATTTTCGTCAATCAACAGTTATTATTTATTGAAAATTAATAAGTTTGATTAACGAAAATTATAATCATTAGATTCACGAAATTAACGGTTAGAATTAAATGTTAAACTTTTTAATTTAACACCAGTACTAAAGGATCCCATATATATATATATATATATATATATATATATATATATATATATATATATATATATATATATATATATATATATAGTGTGCGTGTCAATTATTTGTGACAGACAGCATGCTGATAATTTAATCCATCAGAAATTCATACGCGAGACTACAGAATTCGCATCTAAACTTTGGTGCGGATATAAGCAAGATGAGCTGATCAAAGCTCCTCTTCGTTTTATTTTTTAATTTATTTATTTATTTTGGGAGGACAGGGGTTTACATTTGTTTTGTTACTTTTGTTTGACTTAACGCACGTTTCTGGAGGAAGAATCTTACATGGGAAAGGTCATTCCAAGGAGGGTACGCTAATTTTTTCAATCAATTAGGTTGTCCTTTTCTTGAAGTCTTACAGTTTTCATTTTTTTCAAGCTGAAAGTCGCAGGGTTAGTATCGATATAACATCTAGCAAGTGAAATTGTGAAAGACAAAATACAATTTAAATTTTTTTATTTGTTTTGTAAAGAATTAATTCAACGTAAAATTTTAAAATTTTGAATTGAAACAATTATTTATTAAAAAGGTTTTCACCCAACATTTTAAGATTTTGGGTTAAAAGGATTTTTTATATATTTTGCCTAATTGCATGTAAAAAACACATGTCTTGCTAGCTGCCGATTGCAGATTATTAGTTCGGAGTTCCACATATTATATACCCACCAGTTGAATTCACAATTGTCGGTCAATAATAAATTTTTTAAAAGAGTATCAAAGCGTTTTAGTAGCATTTTATTTTTGTTTAGCTAATAAGTGCATATTTCTTTTATATAACCACGTGGCTATTCCATTAAGAATTTGTTGATCAAGTTGTTTTGGGAAAATTGTCATTTTATATATTATAAGTGTGTGAAAATAAATCAGACTAAGTTAAAGCTGTAATTTATCTTGAAATAAATCATGTACGCTCAAAGGTTCAACTCTAATCTCTGCTCTAAGAATTAAACAATGAATTATTTGAGTCATCGTTAGCAATATTATTCACGGGTCCTAAAAAATTGGATTGTCCAATCTGAAATGCAATGAAAAAGCATAACATAATTAAACTTAATTACAAATGCCGTGGTGGCTTTATTTCATAAGTTATTAATTATAAAGAGAACGAAAGCCGCACCATTGTTCCACTCTAAAAGAGTGAAGGCGGACAGGACAAATAACAAACGTGACCTTATTTACAAGCGTAGCCATCGAATGACACAAACGACAAATTACTAAAACAAAAAGCACATTAATATTCACAAACTCAACACCTTCTCATCTTACATTTTCAAATATGAAAATTGAAGATGGGAGCGACCACAATATATACGACTCAATCGGCCACCACTTTTGATTAAGGAAAAAACACAGAGTCAGCAGATCAACGCCTACCGGGCTCAATGCCTACCGTCTTCAATGTCTCAGCGGTTCGAGGACTGCAACAAATTAAGCACCTTCAATATTAGTCTTAATTCATAAATAAAAGTATTATTTATGCGATTCTAATAAGTATAAATTAACTATGATATATGATAAACATTGTCCACAATAAGTGTCGCATGAACTTAATTAATTACCGGGTAAAAGGATTAGGATGGACAGGGTCGTGGAGTGTGGCTTTGTTTTCTTGAATATGAGAGACTTTCCTGAAGAAGGAGCCATTGATGAATTTGTTGGCGGAGTTGATGGTGCGATCGGGATCATACACCTCTGGCATGGATTCTCTTCTTTTCTTGTTGACATGAACGGTTGGAGAGCGCGTCAGTTGTTGAAATGCAGTGTGTGTTCCAATTGCCAAAGCTACACCTACCATTCCGCACACAATATACACTGGTGCAAGCTCTGCCTTAAGAGTGCTCATCCTATCATCATCATCATCAATTAATTAATTACATATCAATATCAAATTAATCAAATTAATTGGAATATATATATATATATAGGATCACAAACAAATTAAGGTACATAATATAGTTTAGAGCCAATTTGTGTGTGTTTTTGGCTACATTAATACACACCTAGAGGTGGAATGAGCATCGTGATGAGCAGCATCTATGACTGGGGACATGGGCTTCAATTTTGGAATGGTGGAGGTCGCAAATGATCGCCTTCCAGCTCCTCCCAACTGAGTCAGCGTCAATTGCCAATTTTTCTGCATTGTGCCAACACCAATTATATATGATTCCAATCACACTCATTTTAACCAAAAAAGAGAGTAGGTAAGGTAATGTTATAAAGGAAATAATTTCTACAAACTTTATATTTTGTATAAAATTAATCCATGAATATATTTTGTTTTGTGCAAGAATTAATACGGTTAATTATTATCTGAAAAAACTGTATGAAAATGATAATCGACATTTTAAAAATAAAATAAAAAAATTGGCTAAGGCATTGATTTACCGCAGCCCTGAAAGCCATTACTTGTTGTAGATGAAATCAAATGAAAGAGAGACACAAACGATATTGAAGGTATTAATGGGCAGAATCCATTTATATAGAGTTGAGTAACGGAGGGGCCTTCGGAACTAACCACATTCACATGGCTATCATCCCGCTCTCCTGATTGAAGTCTTAGGACACGTGGTGGGATAGAATAAGGGCAATATTTGTGACCACAAGAGATAACCTTCCCAAAACCACACTTTTCAATTCTATTTACGAAGGTTATCTCTTGTAAGATCAAATATTGTCCTTATTAGGATAATCCACAAAGTTCCCAAAACCACAAAGTTGGAATTGCTATTAGGATAATCCAAACGGCTAAAGATGCGGTTAAACCGTTAACCACTGGGTAAATATATATGTTGTAAGATCAAATCCCTTAAATCCAGCTTTATAGAGTGGGTATGACTTTGAATCCTTCAACCTCAACTGATCGTTGCAAATCCTGAAAACCTTTTACGTGGGTAAAATAAAAAACTTAAATGAAAAAAAGAAATAAACAAGTTTAAATTTATTTAAGTTAATTGCAGATCTGGTCCCTTATACTCACGACTTCACTTTATGTATATTAAAACTTTTTGTTTTTCACTTACTGATAAAAGTATATAAAAAATTGATATGTATTGACGATCATATATATAGAGATAGCGGAGCTCATTATTCTCACGGTACTTATCATTTTTGGTTATTTATTTTTGTATCTAATAATTTACATAATTAAAAAATAAAATTATTAAATATCAGTAAGATCAATAACTAAGAATGAAATATATGAAAAAAGTTTCTATTATTCGAAGAACCTTGGGGTAACTTCTAGACAGAAAAAGAAGAATTATGTCTTGTGGCATAAACATTATCTATGGAACGTTATTTGCGGCCAGGGCACCCCGATTTCATGGAACAGCACCATTTTTGTTTTGTTGAATTCTATTTCAAAATTAGTATTGTGGATGTTTTTTTTTAATTTGAAACTATTCTTGTTCAACCTCGCCCGCTTACCTTATTTGGAGTACGGCTTCAAAAATTATCCTTTATTGAAATAACGGGTGTATTGAACTTCGCTACTGGAGAGAGGATGAGACTAATTCCTTTCTCGAGAAGAAAGGTACGTTCTCTAATCTCTAAAAATTTTCCAAAAAATTGTTTGAAGCAACTCAAGCAAACCGTTGGGAACTCAATTTCCAAATGAGCTATCCATTACGGTTATTGTGGGAAAAATTTGTAGTGGTCCTGACTCCATGTACTCTTTCCATTGAGAGATTGACACTTGTATAAAAAAAAAACTTTACTCTCTTCTCTTCTGATTAGTTGTCACATTTTTATTGGCTTTGCACCACTTAAAATTTGATGGTTCAGAGCACCAAAACTCTTCTTGTTATTGTGGATGTTTTTTTAATGAGATCTATTTATTTCATGTTGCATCACATAATTATCTCATGTAAGAGACAAGACAGTGGAATCCATTATTTTTTCAAAAAAAAAGATAAAAAAAATCATGAACCCTACTATTTTATGAGATAATTATCTCATTATTTCTTTTTTTTAATTGATAGGTGAAAATAGTTGACTTGACCCCGTAGTTGTTCTCTCCGAAACCCTAATATCCCTTTTTATTTGTTACTTGATGTGGATGAAAGACAAGGTTCTTGAAACTTGCGATTGGCAAAAAGTAAAAGTCAATAATACAATCCACTAAGATAAAAGTCAATAATACAGTAAAGAGGAAAATGGCAGAGCTCAGAACTAAAGAAATAAAGAGTGTACAATGTGATTACAATTTACAATGAAACAGTTCTCTGTGGACTATATATTGTTTTGCGTGAATGTGTGAACCCCATTTTTTATTCGAGTTTTTTCCTTTTCTATCTGTCACGTTGCTAATGAAATTTCTGGGATAACATGTTTCCTTTTACATTTCATTTTCTTATTCGTTTTGGAATTCAATAGTGTTTTTTTTTAATCAAAGAAGTATCTTTAACAGTCCAAAGTACAAGTATTTAAGTTGTCCATTCTTTGTTTACACAACGTTGTATTTTATGCCTCCAATTCAATTCATGTTCAGCTATATAAAGGTTCATTTAAGGACTTTTTTATTTTATTTAGAGTAACATGACAATGGGACATTGTGTCAGGTTTTGAATGTCACGCTTCTTCCCCTTTTGCAATTTTTTGATTATATGGGCCGGATAAGATTGGGGCCTATTTATAAAAATTTCTGCTGTTGGAGTGGGCCATATGATGCATAATGGTTCTGTTTGTCATAATCATCAACCACTCGAGGCTTAGATAAAACAAACTTGAAACTTGACTTTATAATAGAGAAATGGACTAGAGTCGTAAATGTTCCGGAATAACTCTTTACTAGAGTCGTACATGTGTTAATTTTTCTGGATATGGGCCTAATTGTTCAATCAAAAGTTCAGCCCAACATCAAAATTAAATTTAGCAACAAAATGAGAAAGAAATAAATAAATAAAAAAACATAGCAAACATATTTTTTCTTATCAGCGAAAACTGGAACATATTGATATGAAAATATGATTAAGTTCAGTCAGAAACAGAAATAAATTCTAAATGTAAGAATGTATAAACTAGTAATATCCTTTATTTCTTCTTGGTATATAATAATATTCTTTAGTATAGTCCGTTTATGATTACGAAACTTTATCTGCAGAATATCATCGTTTATCACGTTCACGATCTCGTAGATTCTGAAAACCACTTGCTTATGGAGTTAACGTCCTTTGAAATTTTCATAGCTTTCCAAAATTAAATAATAACCTTCCGTACTAATAAGAAAAAATCTAAAAACAAAATTACCGTGCAATGTACTTCGTTTTCCAAATATATCTTTTGGAGACACGTTGTATCATAAGGTTTCATGATCAAAACTCAAATTATCCATACAAATATGCATGTTGTTACTCTTATCATATATATTTATTCATTTTCATATATTAATTTAGAGTTTATTTTTTGAATTAATATATATTTCTTTAAAAAATGACATGCGTCATTTTGAAAAAAAAAATTTATTTTTATTTTTAAAAAAATAATTGTGTACATTTTTTTTTAGTTTGATGTTTGTCATTTTAAATGACATAAGTTACGTCAAGAGAAAGATAGACACAAAGAATAAAAATCATGGGAGAAAAAATGAGTAAATTTTTTTTTAATTTAAATTTTAAATAAAATATTTTTATTTTGTGTTTATCTTTCCCTTAAAATAACATAATTTTATGTCATTTAAAATGACAAATATTTTCCCCTTTTTTTAATAAATTTTTTTAATTTTAACAACCAGAACACATTATTTACTTTTAAAATTTGTTTGAATCAATTATATATCATTTGGTAATTTTAAATATTTTTATAAATTCAAAATACTTATACAAAAAAAAAAAATTGTTAATATTTTACAAAAGTAATGGAGGAGCTATCATTTAGAGCTATCATTTTTCAACATGAAAACTCAAATTCAAATCACTAATATTATCAAACATTAAGAGCTCTACTAACTGAAGCAAATTAGGGCGGGTTAACGTTTGAGACAAAATTACCAATAAATAAATAGATTGTGTTTTCATGATCGAGCTAATTAGGGGTGGTAACGGGTCGAGCCGAGTTTTGGTATTAAAAGGTTAAGCTTGTGTTTAAATGTGTCAGCTGATCAAGCCTGTTACCAGTTATGAATATAATTATTGGGCTATGACCTGATTTATTTACAAAAAATAAAAGCCTAGTTTAGACTGTTTAAAAAAAAATAAAGTAACAAAAATTTATCCAAACAGAATATACAATCAACAGCATTAGTAATTCCACAAATATTCATAAATTCAATGTATATCCAAACAACATAATATAGAACATAATAATTGAAAAAATTTGTTTAATCAATAAAATGGATGAAATGAATTGAGGAGAGAGAAAAGACTCTTACAAGTAGTATAAAAATATAAAAAAAAATAAAAATTAATATACTAGGTCAACCTGAGAGACTCTAAGGCTGAGCTTTTAAATTGGAGTCTGAGACTTTTTTATTAAACGAGCTTTTATATAAGTCCAAGTCTGATCTTAATAACCAATTTTAGACATGTAACTCAGGCCTTCACGAGTCAAGCCAAAGGTCCCTGATTCATTTGTCAGCCTTGCAGCTAATAAACTCTGAATGGTATTGAAATCTTCTTACATGATAAGATAATATTAAATCACACGTTAGAGAATTTATTTCCCTAGTAAAATTTATTAAATTATTACACAACGTTTGTTATGCAAACGAATAAAAAAAATAAAGGAAGAAATTTTGCCTTATTTGATTTATACTTATTCGATTTATATTCTTAAAAATAGTTTTCTAGTTTTTAAAATAAAATAAAGAAACTTTGGAAAGCGTAATTTTGTAAAATTAACTTCCAAAATCAATTTTATAATTATGAGGTTTTATAAAATTATTTTGTTTAAATAAATTTTTTTCTTCTTCTACTTTTAAAATTATTTTTTAAATTTATATTCAAAACATTTTTTAAAATAAAAAACAAAAGCACATTAAACATACCCTTTCTTTTTGTTGTAGGATTAGAGAAAAAAAAAAATCAAAGAAAAATCTAGTCATCGTGAAACTAAACGACAGGGATATCCAAGAAAAAATAAGAAAGAAACAAGGATGAATGATTGGTCACGCATCAAAGACAAAGACAATTGTATTGAGGTAATCGATGAAGCAATTAAATTAGCCATTGACAAAATCAAATACAGACAATAGGTTATATATAATCCCATAGAATATGCGTTGCGGACTCCGTGATTGCGCCAGCATTCTTGACATTTTTTAGTATCTAACTCTCCGTATATGTTTAGTCATTTGCCGTTGTACTTTATCTTAATATGCTACGTTTAAACCGTACTTATAAAATAGACGTTTGACATTATATTAAAAAATTATTTTAATTACCAAAAATATAAATTATTTTAATTATGGAATGCAACAGGAGTTCTAAGTATATATTAGAAAGCATTTATGTAGGGAAGTTGCTTGAGAG